ACTTATAAAATATGTGTCTGTTGCTTGTCCTAAGAGACCTTTAACTCTATAACTAGTTGGAGATTTGGACTCTTTCAATTTATGAACCCATTTGGTACCACCGTTAATACCGCAGACCATGAGACCCGACATATCTTTGCTGAGATAATTAGCGCATATCAATAAAAAGTCTTTAGGTTGATATCGTGGACCTACGACTAATGGATGATCCGCATAGCTCGGATGTGTAAATACTTTCATCGTCTTAGTTGTATCACCTTCTATACAGACATGTTTGACTGGTCGACGTACATGCATACTGTTCAAATCTAGAAATTAAGAATTATTTTTGACATAGTCAGTTTATGTAAAATAATAAGATCACTTCCTCCCCAAGTAGCACAGTAGCACCTGCAAAAGATGTTATGTGCTATTTAGAATAATACTACAGAGAAAAGTAAGAAGATCCAAACAAGCAATAAAAGCGTATCAAATAAGAGAACAAACATAAATTTTACTTTAGCCAAACCAAAATAAATAATTCATGAAGAAATGTCATAAGTGAATACAAAAAATTGAATGATAATTAAAAATGACAAAAAGGAAAGACAAAGAATAAAAATTATGAGTCGTGTCTGAACAAATGTACATAACAAAATAAAATAAAAACCAGTAACAAGCAATAAAATAAATAATAATGTCAAACATTATTTTTTAGCATTATGTCAAATGTATAACATAAGACAGAAGTAGAAACATTGTTGTATGTTAAAATTAGTAAGCCATTCCTGAAAAATCTCTTCTTGGAATCAAATCATTAAATTTTGCCGATTACTAGCATCAAATTCTCATATTCAAATTGTTGAAAGATTTACAAAGAATATAAAGAAGAGATGTGTACATTAACAAAACACATTATTATACATTATATGATTGTCTTAATACTGATTCCATCAATGTAAGATTAATTTTGAGTTAACTTACTTTTTCTTTATGAAATATTTATCTTTTTTTAATCCTTACAATTCTTGAATTAGAAAACAATAAAAAGTAAATCAAACCGATGTTAAATTTCACATTAGTGGAACCTGGTCTCAATTAAGCTTATTCTACAATGTGTTCTTTTCTATTTCTTGCTTTTTTTCCTCTTTATGATTGTTTTATCGACAATTGTACTTCTTGCTATGTGTTTCCTGTTTCTTCCGAAGTTCGTTAACTTTTATCTCGGGCGACATAAAACAAAAAATCGGATAAGAAGCAAAAAGACAAAATGTAAAAAATAGCAAAAAACAAGAAACAGGAAGCAAAAAGCACATTGTAGAATAGGCTTTACATCTTATCTTTTTGCTTCTTATCCGATTTTTTGTTTTATGTCGCCCGAGATAAAAGTTAACGAACTTCGGAAGAAACAGGAAACACATAGCAAGAAGTACAATTGTCGATAAAACGGTTGCAAAGGGGGGAAAAAAAGCAAGAAACAGGAAACAAAGAACACATTGTAGAATAAGCTTAACGCTCTTTATATAGGGGTTTCCATTTCTTGTTTAATGTAACATACTTTACATATGAAACGAATCAAATATAAAAAAGTGTGAGGTTGAAAAGAGAAAGAGAGCTGCTTCTTTCAATTGCATTATTTTATATTGAAAATAAAAAATACATTGCTTCGGGGAACAAAGGGTAAATGTTAAGAAGAATCCAAGATCTCCTCAGATTTTGATAAAAATACACTCACTCGACGCGTTTTTGCACGAAATGAACAAATCTGGCAGAAAAAAGTGTCGCTCTGCCCGCGAACCGAGATATTAAGCGTTAAAGTTGACGACTATTGAGAATAAGAAATCTGTCATAGCCACGAAATATTGCGATGTAAGCATGCGCTGCGGTCACAAATTCGCTACTTCAAAACAAGTTCTCTGCTCTAAAACACAAATTCATGACTTTAAAACAAATTATCTGTTTTAAAAACAAATTAACTACTTTATAAACAAATTCATTGCTTTAAAAAGACAAATTTACTACTTTAAAAATACAAATTTTCTTATATTATTTTTGTGTTTTGAAAGCAATTTATTTGGTAAAGGTGCAATCTACGGTGCTCACCTCAAAAATCGATAAAATTATACTCATTCGACGCGTTTTTACATGAAACGAAAGAATCTGGCAGAAAAAAGTGCCGCTCTGCCCCGCGAACTGAGATATTAAGCGTTAAAGTTGTCGACTATAGAGGTTAGGAAATCTTTGAAAAGACTTCTTTAAAGGCAGTAAAAACCCATTTGGAATTCTCACACCCCAAATGTCACGGATCAAAAATATTCCAAGCGGACACTGTCTCAGCTGTAACTTCTAAGCGGTTAGGTCCCAAGCGGGTAGGATATGTTATTTTTTTTTCGTTCGGGGCCCAAACATTACTGTCTACGCACTCCACTGTCCACATGGGTTATGATTAATTTGGAATAGAATAGCGCTACATGTAGTCGGTACGACAGATTTCCTAACCTCCATAGTCGACAACTTTAACGCTTAATATCTCGGGTTGCAGGGCAGAGCGACTTTTTTCTGTCAGATTCATCCATTTCGTGCAAAACCACGTCGAATGAGTGTACTTTCATCAAAATCTGAGGGAATCGGGTTCTTCTTAACATTTACCGAATAAAGAAATAAGGAGGAATTTAATTTAAAAAGCTTTAATTTAATAAAATAATATTATCTATTATTACAGAATATTAGTAAGAACAAGTTTCAAGACATTATAAGGATATTCTAACCTTCGCAGAGACGATAAATTATGGTATCCCGTGCATTTAAATACGTGACCATTGGTGGTTTGTAAACGGCAATTATTCCATTTAATGCTTTCCATGCTATTCTAGCGTCGAAAACCAGCTTTTTCATTTTCCAAGCCAGAGTATTTATCATCTTGCCGAAAAAACAATAAGGATGTTATTTCATTTGTGCGTTTTTGTCGTAATTGGTAATACGACAAGTGTGTATGTAGTTTAGTGTGTTTAGTGTTGCTTATGCGTGGTCTACAACGGCAGTATCAGTAAAGGCCCGTCTACAATACCCGTAGTAAGCTCGGTTTAAGAAGTAAGAGTAAGAAATTGACCAATCACAGTCGAATGTGAGAAGAATAATCGACTGTGATTGGTCAATTTCTTACTCTTACATCCATTATGCGTCGTCTACAATGGCAGTATCAGTAATGGCTGCGTTCAGCAGACTCAACAGTTTTGCAACCGTTTTATGATTGTCTGCTGAGATAGGACCATTCTTCTAGATCTAAAAGTATGATCCAATTAGCGCGAAGGAAACTTCCAACAGTTGCAAAACAAACGTTCTGCTGAACGCAGCCAATGGATGAGGTTATAAGAGTAAGAAATTGACCAATCACAATTGAATGTAAAGCCCAATGTCCACGATGCTAGAATTTGATCTGAGTTCTCGGATCGAGAAATGTGTAGCCAATCAGCTTACAGTTTTTACGGAAAACCGGCAAGTTGATTGGCTACACATTTCTCGATCCGAGAATTTGGACAGATTTTTAGCATCGTGAACATTGGGCATAAGGATAGTCATCCATTACTAAACTGCCAGTGGCTGTGTTCAGCAGAACATTTGTTTTGCAACTGTTGGAAGTTTCCTTCGCGCTAATTGGATCATACTTTTAGATCTAGAAGAATGGTCCTATCTCAGTAGACAATCATAAAACGGTTGCAAAACTGTTGAGTCTGCTGAACGCAGCCATTGTAGACGACGTATTACTGATATTGACATTGGCTACGTTTACACCGTGCGTTTAGTCCGCGACCTATACGATAGATGTCTTAGTTTAACCTACAGGATAAACAAGGACATCTATTGTATAGGCCGCGGCCTAAATGCACGGTGTAAACGTAGCCATTGGGTGCGTTCAGCAGAACGTTCGTTTTGCAACTGTTGTAAGTTTCCTTCGCGCTAATTGGATCATACTTTTAGATCTAGAAGAATGGTCCTATCTCAGCAGACAATCATAAAACGGTTGCAAAACTGTTGAGTCTGCTGAACGCAGCCATTGTCGTCAAGTGGACCGCAGCCATATTCGTACCTTACACAGATGTGTGAGCTATGTGAGACGACCACGACGGTACTGCACATGCGCATTGTGAACGTTGGGTGCATTCATTGGGTGCATTCAGTACTACAGCCGCTCACTGAGCGCTCAGTGAGCGCTTGCATCTTATTGGTATATTCCGTTAGAACTAAAAATATAGACCAAACAGATACAAGAGCTCACTGAGCGCTCAGTGAGCGGTCGTGGTACTGAATGCACCATAGAGATATAAGAATAGAGCGCGTCAGCAGTAGGCTGACGCGTGAGTGGCTGCGATAGACGAATAGAAAGAGAACGATGCATAGTTTCCCTGTGTGTCTTTGTCTAATCTCGCGCACGCGCAGTATGACTTCGCGCTGGTTGGCCGGCCGTGGCCCCCGCGGAGCCGATGGATTTCAAACGCCGGCGGATGAGTTGTAATGCAAAGTAATTGATTTTGACATGAAAATGTATTAAAAACATTCGGATTTTTTGGCGAAGACAGCGGAAAACATGTTCCTTTCTAAAATCATGAAGAAAGAATATGGAAATGATGCGAAATATTTTGTTTATAAGCACGACAGTGTCCAAATTCATGTTTTGGACACTGTCGTGATAAGTACGCGTTACATATTTGATAGGACTGAAAATGTTAAAATGCAATGCTAGATTTATAAATAAACAATCCTCATGTATGATTTAATTAATTGTAATGAAAATAATGGTGTTAAAAAAGTAATATTGCAAATACAGAAGAAATGGTACCTTTAATATTCTTCTTTATCACGTATATGATGAAAATTATGATGAGAATATGTGTCATTAAGCAAGAATTATGGTAAATAAAGTAAAAAATAAAGAAATTATAGTTAAAATAGAAAAGTATCATTGAAACTACAGATATCAATTTTTATACAATTAATTACAATGTTTATTAAGGTTAGGTTTGTATGTTTGTTATGTATACGTACAATATGTGTGTACTTACTTATGAAAACTGCGATCAGAAAATCGGTTTGATTCTTTTTTGCACACGATACACTTTACAGTCATTTTTTAAAAAAACTGTACACAAAAACATTTGTAAAATCGAAAGCGGTTAATTCCGGCATATTCACTACCATGCTTGTAAGTAAACATGGATGGGCTGCGCGCATGCGTCATTAAACAAGAATGGCACGAGTAACTATGCAGCGTTCTCTTTCTATCCCGCTAACGCCTGTACCTACGGCTTTTGCCCTCTATTCTTATATCTCTATGGAATGCACCCATTAGGACCTCTCTACCTTTCTCTCTCGCACGGACGTTGGTTTCGGACGAGGCTTCACCTCGGTATACGCGGGCCAGGATAGGCAATTCCTCTTCCAGTAGTATATAGTATGTTCTAAGATGTGCCGTCAGCCGTGTGCGGATTGTGACGGACTGTGCCCAACTGCCCGTAGTGCTCGGCGGAAAATGACCAAGAATTGTAGATGTTTCCCGGTCGAGTGATGCACGATCGAGGATACCGTTGGAGATCCAGGAATGTTTTATCGTTGTTGACAAGCGCGTCGCCCGTTGCCCGTCAGTGTCGGATCAACAAAGAACGTTTTTCATTTTTACTTCCAATGCGACAGTTGAATTAAATCACTGAAACGAAAGTGGACGCGAGTTCGGCGAGTTCATTCTCTCTCTCTCTCTCTCTCTCTCTCTGCCGAACGGTTCGTTGAGACTTCGAAATTCGAGATATCGACGAGGACGAGGTACTCGCCGCTGATCGAGTCGCGAAATCGTAAGGTTATGCACCGAAATCGAGAGAGAATAAAGACATCAAGATACTCTTGCTAGATATTTGATGTAAGCAAGGGAGTGACAGGAAGAGAGGAAAGGAAGGAGAAATCGCACAGATAATACGTGAAGAGGCATTATGTAACGATACATAATTTCGACGGAAAAACTCAAGTGCTCTCAGCTGATCAGAGAAGCTATAAGAATAATATTTGATTAAGCTTAAATGAATATTGAGTACACACGTTGGAAATAATTGTTGAACGAAACTTCGTATCAAGGTAGATATTAAGATTGATTTTGCGAGGAGAGAATAAGCATACAGATCTCAAGTTAGAAAATGTTGGCAAATAATTCAACGTCGGTGAGTACAGGCAGAGGCAGCAATAGTCTACAAAATCGAAACTCTCAAAGATCGACCCTCTTGAAAGTGGTGATTCTTGGAGACGGTGGTGTTGGAAAGTCCTGCCTTATGAATAGATTCGTGTCGAATCATTTCGACGAACACAGTTTTCATACCATCGGAGTAGAGTTCCTGAACAAGGATATCGAAATCAACGGCGAGGCATATACATTGCAAATATGGGACACAGCCGGGCAAGAGAGGTTCAAGACTCTCAGAACACCATTTTACAGAGGCTCAGACATTTGTCTGCTTACTTACGCGGTAGACGATAAGACGAGTTTTAGAAATCTTGCGCTATGGAGATCTGAATTTCTTAAGTATGCGGATGTTCAGGAGGACTCCACTTTTCCATTTATTGTTGTTGGCAATAAGGTGTGCTATTAAAATTAAAAGGAACGATATGCAAACGCGCTTTTGTGAAATATGGTTTTTGCAAAAGACAATTCCTTTGTGCTCATACCTTTGTGCAAGAAACCCAAATTCTAGCATCAGACATTCCTTAGTTTTTTCAAAAATTGCTAATGCCAATGCAATCAATTGCTAATGCCAACGTTTCGTGAACCTTGCTGTTTACTTCATCAGGACGAGGAGCATACTGATATAGTGATACCGTATCAGTGTGCTCCTTGCCCTAATGCAGATGAAGTGAACGGCAAGGTTAGCATTAGCAATGTTAGCATTAGCAATGGATAAAAACAGTGATAACTCGTACACCTTCTGGTATCTTTGAAGATAATGTCCGTAAAAATCTAAAAAGCGTTAAAAAATTCAGTATTACAGTGTTTTAGGCTTAATCGACTTGTATCTGATACATATACACACGCACGCACGCACACACAAGTTTTATATATATATATATATATAGTTATATATGTAAGTATAGTAGGATTAATGTGCAAACCCAAGTACAACGTTGCTATCTACTATCTACATTGTCAAGGTGGTAATGAAAATGTATTAATCCGAATTATATCTTCTAAGTATCTCTATAGGAAAAAGTCAAGTGATCTTAGATTATAAATACTCTTTTTCTTTTTTTCCCTGAGATCTACTATCTTGCCAAATGGTTGATCGATACGATAATTATTTTTATATTATTAATTTTTGAAAGAACTAAAGGGTATCTGAAGCTAAGTTTGTTTATTAATATAAGGCATAAAGGACTATCTTTTCCAAAAATTGCATTTCCATTCCTGGTTCTTTCTTTGTGAAATAGGCAAGATTTAGGCATCAAGTAATCATATGTATATGTTGTACAATGTTTTTTTTACAGATGGATGTTCCTGAATCCGAAAGACAAGTTTACATGGAAGAAGCTCAAGCTTGGTGTTCAGAGACTGGTAATCCTCCGTTAGTTGAAACATCGGCAAAAGACGCCACTAATGTTGAGGCAGCTTTTGGGGCAGCAGTTGACGCATGGGCGCGATTGGAAGCTAGATTAGAGCGGCCTTTAGTGGAAGACACTGTCGATCTCTCTAAACAGCAGTCCCAGCATCGTACGAGCTGCTGCATGCCTATTTCCGGTACTGAGTAGGTAGCTGTAGGTCATAGTTTATGATTTTCACCATTTTCTTTTTGTGTTCCGATGAAATAATGCATGATACATTTTTCTCAAGATCTACATTCGTGACCAGATAATTGAAATGGCTGGTAAGAAGATAGACATAATATACGGTCTTTATGTGATGCATACCGACATTTCTGGAATAATCGTTTAAAGTTTTCTTTATATTTGGAAGAGGGGTACACAACGTCGCACTATTGAACTCATAGAAATGATGCTTACTCTATTTAGGATCTATACGGATACATGTTACACAGTAGAACTGTAAGAGGTTATTTTGTTTGGTCTATCTTATTTTTTGCACATTTATAGTAAGATGCACACAGTTCTTTTAAAACAATTTATAGAGAATTTGAATGAGCTTGCTAAAAAAGTTTTGAATAACTAATCTCTTCGGTTTCAGTTTCAGAAATAGATATTTTTACAAATTATACTTAGAATATCGGTTTGTTTACTCTTGGCATGCTTTGTTTCTAGGTCTAACAAAGTAATTTGAAGAGAATCTCTTGCCTCTGTCTACAATACTCTCTTCATTATATGGTGAACTTTCTTTATTGACATTAGAATTGCATCGGTTGTGTATACATAGGATATTGTGTTTAAAATTTTTTATTTAGGAAACTAATTAGGATCTCCAAAGAATATATGGACCGCATAAGATATTATTAGCAATGAATATGCTATTTCTTTATTGGCTGGCTTATATTCTTTTTCTTATGAATAAAAAAAGGGGGGGAGCCATAAAAATCATATATATGACAAATAATATATTGTGATTGATCTTTCCAGAATACAATCTAAGATATAAGATCAGATTAAACGTCCTTATTCTATCAACGCTTTGTGCAGCTCTTAAGCTACTGACAGTATTTTAAGTGTTTAATACACTATTGGCTTGTGATAAAGTACTGACGATAATAATAATAATAATAATAAATATAAATTATTACATAAGAGATAGGTGTAAATTATAATTTTAGCTTTGTAATTTAAATTTACCTTATTCTCGCGATATACACCTGATAATGAAAGCAGGAAAGCAGCGTAATATTTATCTAAGCGAGATCTTGCTTTATACGAATTTATAGTTGCTCTCCATTTACACACAAGTGAAACTGAGTCTGAAGTGAGCTGAGTATTTTATATTCAAATTAATGACGTCACTACTTGGGCTGTGTTCCAAAATTTACTGCCAGTACTGAACATTTATATTTTACGTCACATGCTTTATAGATTTTCAGTACTGGCAGTAAATTTTGGAACACAGTCTTGCTAAGGTCTGTTACACGATAGTCGCAATTCGTAAGCCGTAAGAAATCACAGTTGAATATGACAAAAATAATCGACTATGATTGATTAATTTCTTACGGCTTACGAATTGCGACTCTTGTGTAAAGCTGGTTCTACATTAGTCGCATCGCAGTGTTGCAAGCGTGTCGCAAGCGTTGTAGTTCAATCAGAGTCGAGCTAGATCGATATTGATTGAACCGCAACGCTTGCGACGCTGCGATACGATTAATGTAGAATCAGCTTTACAGGCCTAAGGATCTGAGCACAAGAAATGTCGAAACGGTCGCTTACGAAAGCTTGTTACACAATAGTGACTACGTTTACATGGAACGATTTACGCCGAAGTTGTAACAGATGGTTATGAAACTGGCCAATCACAGTCATTCCATTCTTCTGAGGAATAGTCTATGATTGGCCAATTTCTTAACACAGATGTTATAACTTCGGTGTAAATCAAGCCGTATAAACGTAGTCAGGGTGTTGTCCCATGGGCACGGAAAACGGAATCGAAACAAGGAATCGGAAAGGTGAAGTGGTAGGGGCAACCAACCAGCATCGTTCCGTTTTGATTTTTTTAAGTAGCCTGGCTTCCTATGGGGCATATTTTTCGGAAACGGGAATTTATGGTGATTGACAAAAATAATCGATTATGATTGGTTAATTTCTTACGGCTTACGAATTGCGACTCTATTGCGTTAGGCTAGGTACACGACCTTGCTTTAAGAAGCCTTAAGCCGTGAAACCGTAAGAAATTAACCACAATCACAGTCGATTATTTTTCTCATATTCAACTGTGATTGGTCAATTTCTTAAGGCTTTATGGCTTACGGCCTCTTAAAGTAAGGTTGTGGACCTAATTGGCTTAGAGATTTAAGTTGTAGACGTATGTAACGCACAAGTTTTGGCGTATGACGTACGACTTATTGCGGTCTCTTGGAGACACGGCAATAGGTCATACATCATACGCCAAAACTTGTGCGTTACATACGTCTACAACTTAAGGGGGGCACCTCATGTATCGTGCTAAAAATAATGTAATTTTTCAGAGTTTTTTAATGGGAGACTATACGACAAATTCTTTTGAAATTTTCAGGATATGGTATTGTAATATTGAACTACTAAAAAAATTTTTTCTTGATAGGAAAACAATGTGAATTTTATATTTATAATAATTTAATTTTGGTGCGTCGGCGTTGACGGCGTGCAATGTAACGCTGCTTGTATTCATCCGAAACAAAAAAACAAAAACGATTTCTTTTTTGTAATTTACATTATTAATTGAACCTATTTTTAAAGAGAATAATATCAAATTATAAAATAATTGGCCAATTACAGTTGAATATGAAAAAAACAATCGACCATGATTGGTTAATTTCTTATAGCACGACGTACGACAACGTCTCCCGACTAGTTGTAGACTAGACCTTAGTAAGCGTTACAACCGTTACGACAATTCTTGTGCTCAGACCCTTAGGCCGGAATCAGATCACGCATTGAATATTGAGATTGAAGATTGAAAGATTGAAATTTGACCAATCAAAACAATAGGAGCTAAAATTTCTTTGTCCTCACTGGTCAAATTTTAATCTTCAATCTCAATCTTCAATGCGTAGTCTGATTCCGGCCTTTGATAAAAAGTTATCACATGTCAACACAGATTCATAATCTCACTTTGAAGTGAGTGTACGAGACTCACTAAAGCTCGGTCTCGATTGTTGTGCAGATTATGGTCCGTATTCAGAACGCACTAACATACTATACTTTACGTCACGCATATTATAGAATTTCAGAGATAAAAGCGCGTTCTGAATACGGGCCTATAGGTACAAACTCAGTTGAATCTCACTTGTCAGAATGCAAAAGAAACGCGCATTCAACTGAGTTATGACACACAAGTGATAATTATCTGAGAATCGGTGTAAAGGAAAGTAACTTATATTGCCCATATTTATATGCGAATTTGATGTTTGTACAAAATGCAGCATATGCTTGTTTGCTCAAAATATTCTGCAAAATAGTCTGCTCTGAAATATTTGGCATTCAATGTCTAAGGATTTTCCTACAAAACTAATATTATGAAAGTGAAGATTTTTGTACTGATCGCGGATGCATACGATGCGTTTCTACATTTCCAAATATCTTATTCAGATGGTATTTGATTCATTAGAAATGCCTCATACAGAGTACAAGGAAAAAGTATGTACTAATGATTTCTTAATGATACAATTCGAATTAATTGCGTATGAACTATGAAATATGCATTCTGGTGCTTTTTATACATCTATGGCTATGGTTGTGGTCAAAGTCTCGCTACAAATGCTTTGAAGCGAGTTTGATTGATCAATCAAAGGAAAAAATTTTACAAATTGATCAATTAAAAAACGCTTTAAAGCATTTGTAGCATCGCGTTGATCATACTCTATATGTGGAATATATAAATTTATGATTAAGCATAGAATGATAATAATGGTTAAGATGTTAAACGTATAAAACTAATCATATCAAGGTGATGACCACCTCATAATTACCATAAATTAGGCATTCTTACGCCAAATCTCTATACAAAATCTATGATAATTATTTTTAAAGGATACACTGCTGCGCGCGCGCGCATATATAAAAGTCTTATTTGTGAAGAAGGCGTGTACCAATTGTTATTTATTATTTTTACATATTTAATAAACAAGATCACTTCTCGTATGTACATGACCTATATAAAATATATATATATATATATGTGTGTGTGTGCGTGTGTGCGTGCGTGTGTTATGCCTTAAGATTTTGTAATTCTAGGAATCGATTTTGCAAGAAAAAAATAAACTTCTATTGAGCTTGTTTAAGAATTATCATATTCTTGTATAAATAGGTTAATATATCCTTTTTTTAATGAAAAAATGTCCTTACTCACTGTTAACGCGTCTAAATGAATATTTTGTAAAAATATAGCTAAATAAACACCGATGATATAGGTAATAAGAATGAAACAATAATTTATAACATGGGAATTAAAGAGAAAAAAGGAATTATAATATTCTCCTTTATCTTTTTAAACTCCCTTCTCATTTTTTGGCATTTGAGGCTGTATTTCTTAATACTTTACATGCAATTTATATGTCAACGTATTATAACACGTTAATATATTATAATGGTATGTTTTTACAATTATTTAAAATAGTGTAGTACACTCT